GGCATCAATCTCTAAACTGTCCTCCACATCATTCCTTAGAATCACAATCAGGTTTATAGCCTTAGTACGTTTACAGCGTAAACATGGTTAAGGGACAAAGCTAACAGAGTGATTTGCAAAAGCACACATCTAAGTTACAGGACATCCTGTATGTATAAAAACGTAGGAGGGTGTAACCTTGAAAACATGACAGTGGTAATGCGTGTGAACTGCCTGACCAGTTTGTAATCCAGCTGCCTCATACATTGTGTATATGTGGTCAGCATCTGTCTTTTACAGGGAGGCAGGATAACAGACTCATATAGAGATGTCGAGATAGCTGTTAGCAGCTGATTAACACATTCTAAACACACAGCATTGAAAGTTGGCCCCTCCCTCCCGGCTTCGCCAGCAAGCACGAGAGAGGAGTGAGAGGTGGTAGAGCGAGCTTCAGTGTGAATAAAAGAGGGAGCCACCTCATCAAGAACATAACAATGATGCAGAGGAATAAAATGTTCATCTGGGATTGTTTCACACCACCTATGTTCTACAGCACATATAACGCAAGGTGTGTGTCCTTGCGTGTCTGTGTGTGTGTCCACTCCTTTGACATCACTACATTTACACACACAGTCACACATTAATGGAAGACTGCAAACTGCTCATCCTTCAATTGAATGCTCATTCACACACACACACACACACACACACACACACACACACACACACACACACACACACACACACACACACACACACACACACACACACACACACACACACACTCTGATGGCTATGCCACAATGGTGGCTTCAGTATCTGGAGGAGTTGGGAGTTAAATCCCTGACTATTAATTGACAACCCAATCAAACTCCTGAGCCTGCCCCCCCCTTATCTGACAGCCTATAGCTGCAGGGCTCTGTCAGGATGATGCAGTGACGCCCTCTTGTGTTTCCTCTGTGCAGGTACAGAGCGCTCACATTCATCCTCACCTTCCTGCTCTACACCAGCTTCCACCTCTCCAGGAAACCCATTAGCATCGTCAAGGTAACATAGGCTCATAACTTTTGAATACCACTGAAAACTTTATATCATTGATGATCTCAAATGCCTCATCCTTTACTTAAGTACAAGTAAAAAATACTCTATAACAAGTACAAATATAAAATTCAAAATGTTACTTATGTAGAAGTACAGAAGTATTAACAGCTAAATGTACTCCAAACATCAAAACTAAAAGTATTTAGTATGCAGAACAGCTCTTTTCACAGTTTTATGTTATCGAATATTTAATTTTATCGTGTTTTTATCACAACAAATACACAGATTGGCATTTTATATTGTAGTTTGTCAATGTGGAGCCAATTGCGTGTACTTTTTAGGATATGGGGTTGTATTTATATAGTACAGAGCTCCATTTTATGTTATCTTGTAAATTTATCACATGTTTTAATATTTAACTAGTAATTATGAGATGTTAAATAAATAGTGAGGAAAGTACAATATTTGTCTCAAAAATGTTGTGGAGTAGAAGTATATAGTAGCACTAAATGTAAATACTTAAGTACAAATATGTCTAAATAGTACTTTAGTGTGAAAGTAATTAGTTACTTTCCACCACTGGGAAGAAGAGCCTCTATAATAAGGACTCATGTTTGAAGTCTAACTGGTATGGATAGTAAACACAGGTCTGTTCACTGAAGCTGCACTCATTGTTTTTGACAGAGCGAGCTCCATAAGAACTGCTCCTCTGTCAGTGAGATCGCCACCTTAGCCTCCAGCAGCGGCAGCCCGCAGCCCCCTCCGCATTCCATCCACACAGACATGGACTGTAGCTGGAAGCCTTTCGGTCTGTATGCTTCACTCCTCGTGTGTGTGTGTGTGTGTGTGTGTGTGTGTGTGTGTGTGTGTGTGTGTGTGTGTGTGTGTGTGTGTGTCTCCCAGAGGAGGTGGAACTAATCTACACCCTACACTAGCAGACTGATCCAGATAGCAACAACAGAGGGAATGCAGCCGAGTTTCTGTGCAGAGAAACAGAAAGAGGACCAGGATAAGAATTAGCAACAGCATCAGTATCAACTTTTACTGCCGTAAAAGTAAAAAACAGTAAAAGTTAAC